AGATTACAGGGAGAATTTGAGCATCAACTGTGTGTGTCCATGAATTAAGTTCTATCTAGTGCTTGAATGCCTATGATGCTAGGTATTTACTTGAAATTACATATATAAGATCTGTCACTATGAGACATGAAGCGTCCCAGAAATCACTAGAGTTTATTAATGTATTTCTGGAAATACACTAATATGACATATAAATAGTGTCATATATATCTTTTATTCTAGGATTTCTTTCCTGTTTTTAATATTTATTAAAGATAAATCATGCCTCTTCTTAGTATATCAATCTTCAAACAATTGAATTCCAGAGTTTAAAGAGATGTTAGAAATCTTCCAATCAAGTATGCTCCCTTTTTAATAATAGAAACTGACCAAGAGTTTTAGAATCCAAGATGCCTGACTAAGTCCAAGATTTTTGTTTTGTTATTGTTAAAACAGCAAAGTATGGGAACTCTGCGTTGAAATATTGATCATTCTTTATGTATCTGTTTTTCAAAAGGGTAAGAATTATGAGGATACCAGTTTCTAAAATAATTACTTATATTCAAGGGCAGCATTAATCTTAGATGATCAATATTCTTTGGTCCAACACATTCATTTTAGACATTATTACACTGAGACTGAGAAGTTGAATAATTTGTTTATTGTCAGATATTAGTAATTTGCAATATTTAGATAAAAACTGAATTCCTTATATTCCTTCTTTAATTACAACATACTTTCTCTTTGATTTTGCACAGAATATTCCAGAACTATGAGCAGTAAACAAATATATATACATATTATATATATATATATATAATATGTATACATCTGTTACAACAAAAATAAAACAAAGGATAGCAAGAGGAGTAGATGTACACCCAGTACAAAGTTTGCTGATATTTTTTGGAGTCAAATAGTCTCGCTGCCTTATAAGTGATATTTGGGCAACTGAAGCAGTAATAAAACTCCTGAGTTAAAACTTTCAAGAAAAAAAAAAGTACAGAAAACTACTTAAAAAGTAAACAAGAATAATTCCAGAATAAGAAAATGTAAAGGAATTAACTAAACGAGTGTTAAAAAACATTTTAGAATCTATGTGCTTAGTAGAATCTATACATTCATATATTCTGCAATAAATGCAAGAGAAAGACACTGTTACCAAAAATAAAAGTGCAAGAAAATAAAATCTTTAGCTTGGTTTTTATTTTAGCAACTGAAAAATATTGACATTTAAAATGTTTAATATCAATAAATAGGCTGACTGACTACAGAATATTATCTTAACTTGCAAGTTTGAATCAGAGTTCATGGTCTGGTATTTACCAAAAATCACCTTACTCATTCTAGTTTATTCTTATTATGTGTTATTACAGTTTTTCTCTGTGATGGCATCAGCAATCCTACGTCAAAAGAAACCCACTGCTGCATTCTGTCCTTCTGACACAGAAAGTCTCCTCTGTGAGACTTAGATTACCCTGCATGTCTTGGTGATGTAACATTTTCATGGTGTCAAAACCCTTTCAAAATCAGATAGCTTCTGGAATGTAGAGATTATGAGATATATCACTTGAAATTGACAACTCATCACTTCTACTTTGTTTTCTGAGTATTTTTTTTTCCACAAGAAAATATTCAGTGGTCTTAGTTTCAAAATATAGTTGAGTTGTCATGTTTCTTGTGTACAAAATTTGGAAAGAAATTAGGGCATATGAAACTTAATGCTGTATCTAGAATCTAAACTTAGTGTTGACAGTGAACTAGCTGAGGAAGTAGCAAAGCATGCATTGGAAATTGTCTTAAAAACAGAAAATTTAGAATGAACTGTATATGATAATTTTCTGCAAACCTCATCTAGATTCTTGGAAAACCCAGTAAAAGCCAAAATATTAGTCATCTAACTTCTCTAGGAATCAGCTTCTTAACTGTAAGTCAGAAATAGTAATAGCATCTCTCTAATGGGTTGATAAATATTAACATAAGTATAAGCATAAACATATAATACCATAGTACTGCCTAAAATGATAAAGCTGAATAGGTTCTGTTCTCTCAGATTTAAGTTTTTTTTTCTTATAACTTCCTGAAAGTATTACATAAGCATTTTCTTGTGATTTTATAAATAGTTTGAAATAATGTTATGTGGAAGAGTATCAAGACAATTAAATGGTTGAAGTCAGGGGGGAAATTTTAAAGACAAAAGGAATAATTAAAATAACAAAGAAAGCAAATATAAGAGTAAGAATGGATGATGTTACAATGCCAAAGAAACTCTTAACCAGCAAATAAATGAACTTTTATTCACTTATCCATGCGACTTTGATGTGCCAATCCTCAAACAGCAGCATCATTGACTCAGCACTCTGATTATGGAATTGGTCAATAGGAATTTATCAGACTTATTGCAGGCTGAGATTCAACTGGGCTCCTTCTTGCTCTTCATTCACTTGGCAATTGAGATCACTTTGGGGCTAGCCTGCTGATCTCAGAAGGAATACAGAGACTTGTGGGGAAGGGCTGAGGCATACCAGTACAGATCCACTGACCCCCAGAAGCATAATCATGCCTAGTGAAGATCAGCACTAACACTTATGAACATTCACCTAGTATCATGGTCTATTTTGGCCTATACATTTATCTCTGAAAAACACAGCTATATTAGGCATAAGTCCCAATAATGTTGATTATCTGCCAAACAGTTGGCAGAGCCTAGTAATTCTGAAAAATGGAATTAGAATTCAAAATATTCCAAATGTAAATAGTGAGTTACTAGGCAAATAAGGGACAGATGCTTCCCTTGAGTGAAGCAGACACATGGTAGAAAACTGCATATGAAAGTTTGCTGGCAGGACAGAATAAAATACTGTCACAAAAATTAAAGGGGATATAGCATTTAAATGAACCTTGAGAATAAGGTAGAAACCAAACCATACATGTGGCATTTATTTGAGAAACAGAAAGTAGTAAATGGGTCTGGTCTTAATCTAGACTAGATCAATCCAGAGTAATAATATATTGAATTGAATTATATTTTATATTCAATTAGCAAGCTGATGTAGGTTCCCTGGTTGGAAATAAAGGGGAGGTAGAAGACATTGATTCATTTGCAGATGGTGTGATGGTTAGATACAAACATTTTAGAAAACCAGATTGATATTTCTGTTATAATTTTTATTATTTTTGTGACCAGAAGAAAGTCATTTAACTTTTCTACAACTCAGTTTCTTAACTGTAAGACAGGAATAATGATTTCATCTCTCTAATGGGTTAATAAATATAAATATATATAGCAATACCATAGTACTGCTCCTAAAAATGTTAAAGCTGAAGACTAGAAAACCAAGTGTAGCAAATGTAAATGACTAAAAGAAAGGGAAACTCATTTCCTTGCTGTGTACTTGCTGAGAGGCAAGGATCCATAATCCCAATTTGTTGTGATTATCTGAGAAGAATGCTATAAAATACTTCTTGGGAAAGCTGGATTCTCACCTGGAGAAATTTTAAGAAAGCTGGCCGGTTGGAGCAACCCGCAATAGTAATCCCTAAAGAGGAGGCACCGCTTCAGCATCTAACCAGAGTGTGTTTCCTTCAGCTAAAGTGGGCACTGGTATGATACAGTAAGAGACTGTAAGGAGGTTAACTGGTAACAAATGAGAGAAATTGGAAGTTGAAGCATTCTTTCTTCAGGGTCCTCGCAGAGAGAAGGGTCTTTGAAAGGGCTCACACAGGTACTTCACTAAAGAACTATTGTCTGGATGTCTGTCCCACATGAAGCATCAGTAGTTTCATATTATGAAAACAATGTTGCCCCTTTGCATCTTCCTCTCCACCCAGATCAATCCCAAAGAATCCAGATACAGGTTTTTGCAGATGAAGAAAAGCAAATATCCTACCATTCTTTCCCACTGTAGCTTTCTGGGATCCGGCTGTCCCTGTCGTTGTGAAAAAACACTTTGAAATGGACATGGAATTGAATTTTACATTAGACCCCAATTTATATATTGGATAGTGAGTGTTAATTACTTACATTGTTGTTGTTCAACAAAATTGAGCTAGAGAGCTATATAGTATCTGTTTAACAAACCCAGAAGGTATGAAGTGGGAGATTTCTATAAAGCATGGATGAAGGAAATAATTGGAAGGAAAAAAATGTTTCAAATAAGTACATGATTAAATTTACACTGTTCCATACATTGGTTTTACAAAGAAGTAATGAGATATTAGCTGGCAAAGCATTTAAGACAATGTGTGGCACACGGAAAGGGCCCCAACAATGCTAGTTGCTTTTATAATTGTTGTTTTTTTTCTTTAAGGAAAAACATCAAATTTCCATATGATTTAAAATAGAAAGGCTGTATTGAATAGTAATGATGGAAAATTACAAAGGGAAAGATTAAAGAGCCATGTGTCAGGCATCACCACATAATAAACATTCTGAACTTGAATAGAAGATTCTTTCATGGTTTCTTTAATTTTAGGATTCTATTATTTTAAGCATGAATTATTTTTCCATTTTGGGAAAAAAATCTTTTTATTTCCCAAATTAAATAAACAATACAAGTCTTTACATTTTTTAATTTAAAGAAACTTAGACGATTCCTTTTTATCCCCTATGAGCATCCACTATTAAATCAATATCATTCATCCTTTTGGCTTGGCATATTAGCTGCCTTTATCAAATGCAAATCACAAAAACTTGCCTGTCAGTATTTATTCTTTGATGGTTCTTTCTTATCTTTGAAAATTATACTGACATAAATTGAGTGAAACATCGCTACAGTACAGCAAGAACTGTCTGGCAAGGGACTGAGTTTTTATATAACCATAACTTTCCTTTGTACTAACTTATTTCGAGCTTCTGCATAAAGGATATTGCAACAACAACAAAACAGATCAGAGGGTAAGCAAAGTATTTAATTTTTTTACTCAACTGTCATTTTCAGAAATGAAAAACATTGTAAGTATCTTGACCCAAAGAACATAGTATTTCATTTCCAACTTAAAGAGAGTAGTTCCATACTCACATCTTGATTGGTCATCTCCCAATAGGGTCTCTCTCCATAAGACACAACTTCCCACATTACTATTCCATAACTCCAGACATCACTTGCAGAGGTAAACTTTCGGAAAGCTATTGCTTCTGGGGCAGTCCATCTGATTGGAATTTTGCCTCCCTAAAATTGAAAAATAATTTTTAAAAATCTCTACATACTTCCAAAGTACCCAGGGATATTATTGCCTCGATGAAAAGCTCTAGAAAGAGATGTTGCATTTTAAAGTAAATCTGTTTGACAGCAGACAGTCTCTTTGCACATCTCTCTGTGCATAAGCACTTGTAGACTAACTGCTAATTGGCTGTCTTGAAGGTTTCTAGTTTAAATTCTGTGTGACTACTGGAATACATATAGGACCCACATCTCAATTACAGTACTCTGGATGGCAGCTTTTAGCAAGGAAAAGCAGGCAGTCAAGCAAATCAATAAGGTATACTCTCATGATTTTCTAACAACGTAAAGGACTCAAATTCCTTGGGTGCCTTTTTTTAAATGAAGAAATTGTAAGTGGAAGTTCTAGGTTGCTGTATACAATGACCAATAAGACAAGCATGGAAATCAGACATTTTAAAAACTTAAAGTTCTACTTTGTCATGGTACTGCATTATATCTTTTAGACTTGTTTTTTCTTATTTTCCGTTTACATATTTTTGTTTTTGTTTGGTGAGACTTTTTAACTCAATGCATGGGTTTCTTTTTTAACTCAATCAAATTAAAAATTATTGAATTTGGATTATGGGAAAAAACTTACCAAGTTATCAAGTTTGCATGTTAGAATATTGATTTGGAAGGCTTTCTCTTAGTTCATAAGTACTTTTACATCCTATCTCTTTCAGAGTGAATTTATTTTTCTCTTAACTTTTAAAAGCAGGAAGACCCACCTAAATAATCAAATATTTTATCTATAATCAAATATATATTGAGAGAGAGAGAGGCACACACAGATACACACACACACACACACACACACACACACACACACACACACACAGTCAGAGAGAGAGAGAGAGAGACAGAGACAGAGAGAGAGACAGAGAGATATAAGGATACACAAATAAGCCGGGCTCGGTGGCTCAGCCTGTAATCCCGCGCCTGTGGGAGGCTGAGGTGAGTGGATTGCCCTAGCCCACGGGTTCGAGACCTGCCTGCAGCGAGACCTCATCTCTACAATAAATCAAAAAATCAGCCGGGCGTGGTAGCGCATGCCTGTAATTCCGGCTACTTGGAAGGCTGAGGCGGAAGGATCGCCAGAGCCCAGCAGGTGGAGGCTGCGGTGGCCGGGAGCGGCCACTGCATTCCAGTCCGGGCGAAAGAGTGAGACTCCAACTCAAAAAAAGAAAAGAAAAGAAAAGAAAGATACACAAATAGAGAAATATGAAAGTTTTATATATTTTCTTACAAAAAGACTAACATATGCCTTCTCATTTTGTAAGAAAAATAATTTAATTCACATACTAGAGGAAAGAAACAGAACTTACATTGCTGCTTATAAACCAAAGTGTCAAGATATTTGAGGAAATAATTTGAGGTCAGGCTTGAAATTATTCTGGAAGTTGAAGTCAGGTTTAAATAATTTGCTCTTTAGATATATACTAATGCAATTTGAAGAAGACTTTCCTGAAACTTATTTTTGTTAATTAAATATTCACAAGCCAGATGCATAATTAGTACTAGCTATGCATAGGTATTCTATAATGTATGATTAATATTTCCCTCAGAATTGCACTTTGTTGATTACAGTAAGAATTAACCCATACTTGTTTTCCGGGTCTTCTGACTACCTATGTATCATTGATATTATCTGAAGTTCCTTTATCTTCTTATCCCTCAGTATGCAGATTTTCCATGAGCTGCCACCATACTTCATTTTAGAAGAGCAAGTCTTCAGGGTCTCAGCATCTTTGTCTCTCACCTGACACTATAGCATGACACACTGACACATACCTTGAAAAATCTACTTTTTGCACTTAACTAAGATACCAACCAACCATACTGGCGATTGACTTTTCTATAACCTCAGTCTTGCAGAGGCCAAGTTTGTTAAGTGTAACTCTAATTCCAGGAGAATTCTTAATTGAGGTTTCATTTAATCCAAATAATGACAATAATAGGTCTAGAAGAGGAAAGATATCCTATCACTTAATTTAGTATAAGCTGAACTTTGGAATGCTTTGTTTGCTTAGATAAGGTACATTTACCCTTCAACTTAGTACAAACCTTCAAATATTCATGGGCTACAAAGCAACAATGTAAAACAGTCTTATAATCAATTAAAATACTTAATTTTAAGAATATATCTTATTGTTAGGGTGAGGACAAAAGTGTTTTCTGTACTGAAACATAAGTTAATAAAATTGTGCAATGAAAATAATACTGTGATAAATATCTTCACGAGGGGTTTAGACATTGAAAATATCTAATTTGATGACATCAAAAATATATGATTAGCTGGGTGTGATGGCTCATGCCTGTAATCCCAGCACTTTGTGATGCTGAGACAGATGGATTACTTGAGCCTAGGAATGAGAGACCAGCCTGTACAACATAGCAAAACTTCATCTCTAAAAAAAAAAAAATTAGCCAGGCATGGTGGCACATGCCTGTTGACTCAGCTATTCCGGATGTTGAGGTGAAAGGATTTCCCTGAGACCAGGAGGTTAAGGCTGCCATGAGTCATGATTATTGTGACCATGACACTGCACTCCAGTGTGGGCGACAGAGTGAAACCCCAATGTAAAAGAAAAAAAAAGTGTGTGTATATATGTAAAACATATATAATTATTATATACAATTAAACAAATATCGTTTATCATACAGGAAAATCTGTCAATTCCATGCTATATCAATTCACCAAGGAATTACATTGCTGGAAAGGAATGTTGACTTATGCTGATTATGACAATATGAGTTAATGACCAATTTTCCATGAATATGGGCTAACAGTTTTTGTAGTAAATATGAAAAGCAATTAAGCATTATAATACTTCCAGTAAATCAAAAATTTTTTAAAAGAATAGCTCTTTTTATCTGCTACAGTCCTTAAACCCTTAAAAGGTGAGGTCATGATATTTCTACATTTATTTTACAAGTGAGAACATTGTAGAGTACAGAGCTTAAACTACCCAATAATGTCATACATGCTTATAAATTCATATATATGTATATATTATACACACACTATAAGTATATAATATATATTGCATTTAATATAGAATATTGTTTTAAATTCTTTTACGTTGAAGACTTTATATGATTTTTACATTGCATTTATTCCAAAGTGTGAATTATTATTTTTTTTGTTGTTGTTTTTGTTTTTTTGGTTTTTGGTTTTTTTTGAGTTGGAGTCTCACTCTGTTGCCCAGACTGGAGTGCAGTGGCCGCTCCCGGCCACCGCAGCCTCGACCTGCTGGGCTCCGGCGATCCTTCCGCCTCAGCCTTCCAAGTAGCTGGAACTACAGGCGTGCGCTACCACGCCCGGCTAATTTTTTGAGTTATTGTAGAGATGAGGTCTCGCCTGCCCAGGTGGGTCTCGAACCCGCGGGCTCAGGCAATCCACTCACCTCAGCCTCCCAAAGGTGTGGGATTACAGGCTGAGCCACCGAGCCCGGCTGTGAATTGTTATTTTTAGTATCTTTAGAAAAATGAATTATTGAAACTCAGAGGTGAATACTTTCCTTATCTAATTTTAATATTTAAATCTGCTGATATATAAAAAGGAAAATTATTTGGACTTTTGATTTTTTTTCTCTCACTTTTTTTTTTTCCTGACTTTGTTGCAGGAATGCCCTTTTCACTTTAACATTTTTGAAAAGTAAATGCCTATAGTCTAATGTTCCAGAAATGCACTCTGTTAGATCTTACCCTTGTGGTGTAAGCTGCCTCAGGATCATCTTCTAATACCCTGGAAAGTCCAAAGTCAGACACTTTGCACACAAGGTTACTGTTGATTAAGATATTTCTAGCAGCAAGGTCTCTATGCACATAGCCCATGTCAGAAAGGTACTTCATTCCTGCAGCGATGCCTCTCAGCATGCCAACAAGCTGAATCACAGTGAACTGACCATCATTTTTCTGTGAAAACAATGCAGAAATATTCATCTAACACCACCAATCACTTGGGGAGGGGAAGAGTATGAAGCAATCTTCCTTCAATCTCCAAATGTGTACTATCATTCATTAAAATTCATATGCAATTTCTATCTGAGGGAGAATGGAAAATATTAGAAAATATAGGACTAACTTGGCAATGTTTATCTGTCTTCTATCTGGTCAAAGCAGATAAAGGGTTTGAAAGCCCTTGTCAGAAATCTCATATAGTTGCCCTTTTGTGCATTATAACTCCTTTATTCTCAGTCATCAGAGGAGTTTGTTCATCACTCCAACCTAGTACCTGCTTTGGGTCAATACTGCAAATATTGTGAGATGAGTTAAAAGTAGCTAGCTGGATAGGCATATTGAGGTAAAAACTAAGTGACCAGAGTAGATAAGGGGGTTTCCGCAGCAGCATATGAGAGAATAATAACTGAGCAATGACCAGGACAATGTTAACAATTCTTGGAAGTTTGTCCTCTTTATCAAAGGTGCTGAACTTAATGCAGTCACACAGACACATAAAGCTCAACTGATGGTTATTACTAAATAAAGGCATGGTATGACTTTAAGAGACTGGAGAATTTGAAGGTATGTATATATCTATTTTTAAAGGCGACAGAATCGAATAGAGGCTGGAGTCCAGAAGAAAAATTTAGCTTATCACTGGACTACTATGAAATTCATTGTACAGGCTACTCTTATAATTATCATTAACACTCTTGTCTCATCACTTTTTCTAATCAATAACAATGGTCACTATATTGAAATTACAAACTGCCAGTCTATAGGTTAAATCAGGCCTACAAATGTTACCTTGTCTAACACAAGCTATTTACTAATAAAGTGAGTTGACAGCACTTAAAATTTGGAAACTTGCACATTAAAAAAAAAATGTTTTCTGAAATCTGAATGACCAGACGATACTGGCAACTTTCAATTAGCACATGACTTCTCTACTGGTACAAATAGTGATTGGTCTCACATGCTCATGATGAGCACTACACACTCCCATGTGACACCTTTGTTAATGATTTGCAGGAATCCCTTAGACACATTTTCTTCCTCTGTCCGACATCACATACTCTGAAAAAGTTAAGTACTTATAAAGGCTTATTTTTTCTTTTCCTTCATTTTTTCTTTTCCTTCCTTTTTTCTTTTCTTCCTTAATTCTTTTTCTTTTATGCTTTATTTGGAAAATTAACACATACATAAATAAAACTGCAAAGACGTATACCATTTGGACTTGTATTAAGTTTTCTGACAAGAACAATTTCTAATTCAAAGTTAATTTTGGAGTATAATTATTCTGATTCCATATATTTCTATTCTATTTAAAACTTTAGCTTAGAAATGGTCCAATTTCAACCTCACTGTCACAACCAATATATACATAACACTTTAAATTAGTCCCAAATTGTACCTTTAAAAATGTATCCAAAGAGCCATTCTCCATATATTCTGTTACTATCATCACTGGTTTACCTGAAAAGAAAACAAGAGTGATATAAACTGCTGCCCTTTGATTTTGCATTCTTATCTTAGAGAAGCTTACCCATAAGTTTCTATTAGTGTTCAAATTATGCATGTTGATTATTTTTAAAACGTCTTCTTTGAGTAGCAAGAAAAGTTCTTAACTGATGTTATCTTAGTGTAAGGAGTGGGTCACTAAGAAAAATGTATATCACAAGGTTAATCACAGATTGATATTTAAGAAAAAGATACACACAATTGCCAATATCAGAACTAATTTCTGTAGAAAATTAGTTTAAGGATGAATTCTATTTTAATGGCAGTATATAATATATCAACTAGCATCCAGAAAAACATTTGGAATGTATTTACCTTTCTCACAGTTCTAAATAAAAACTCCTAGCCAGGCTCGGTGGTTCAGTCTGTAATCCCGTGCCTTGGGAGGCTGAGGTGAGTGGATTACCCAAGCCCGTGGGTTTGAGACCTGCCCGGGCAACTTGGTGAGACCTCATCTCTACAATAAATAAAAAAATTATCTGGGTGTGGTAACGCGCGCCTGTAGTTCCAGCTACTTGGAAGGCTGAGGCGGAAGGATCGCTGGAGCCCCAGCAGGTCGAGGCTGCAGTGGCCAGGAGCAGCCACTTCACTCCAGTCTGGGAGACAGAGTGAGACTCCAACTCAAAAATAAATAAATAAATAAAATAAATAGATAAATAAATAAAAACTCCTGGGTAACTGTCTGGTTTATGAGCCCTTGAATATATGTTGTGCTTTCCTACTTTTATCTCTATGTTTTCACAACTCTTTCTTATGATTACTTCCCCTCCTCTGTTTGCAGTACACGTACAATATTCATTAATCCCATGTTTGTTTGTTTGTTTTTTTATTCTTCAAAGCCTTGTTCTAATTCCCTTTCCTATGTGAAAAATTCCCTTAGCAATAATCATTTCTGATGCAAGTTCTCTTTTCACATCTGATATTGATGTGTAGCCTAGAAGTTAGCTGGTCACACTCTGGTACCAAACTTCTTGACTTTTAATCTCAGAATAATCACTCACTATTATATGATCTTGAGCAAGTCAAATCTCTCTATGCCTCAGTTGTCTCATCTGTTAAATGAAGATTACAATGGCATTACATCATAGAATTGTTGTGACTATCCAAATCATATGGTTATCCAAGGCACATAGAATAGTGCCTGTTACTTTAGGATTTGCTATGAAAGGGTTATTATTATTTTATAAGTTTTATCAACTTTATATTTGTGGATTAACTTCCTTGCTAAATGGAAGTTGACTAAGATGATAGATCATTTGTTATCCCTTATAAAATTTTGACATTTTGCAGAGAGTAAGTCGGTAATACAAAATCAAATATTCACGCTATCCAAAAAAAAATTCTAAAACACAGTTGAAAGGTTTATCATTCTTCATTAACTTCACTATATTTTAAAAACATGTCCCTTTACTCTTTTTTTTGTTTTGAGTTGAAGTCTCACTTTGTCACCCAGATTGGAGTGCACTGACCGCTCCCGGCCACCGCAGCCTCGACCTGCTGGGCTCCGAGATCCTTCCGCCTCAGACTTCCAAGTAGCTGGAACTACAGGAGCGTGCTACCACGCTTGGCTGATTTTTTTTTTTTAATTGTAGAGATGAGGTCTCGCCAAGTTTCCCAGGTGGGTCTCGAACCCGCGGGCTCAGACAATCCACTCACCTCAGCCTCCCAAAGGCGCAGGACTACAGACTGAGCTACTGAGCCCAGCGTCCCTTTACTCTATAATAAAAGCATACTACATAAGTTTTAGGTGTTAATATAAGTTATTTTGTGTTAAGAAAAAAGAAAGCTATGGCAACAAAATTATATCTTATATGTCCATTAGTTAAACTGTTCATAAGCGGATTATGAAGGAAAACACACCCTATACAATTTTGAAATGCATTATAATTAATTGAATGGCATTCTCCAGAAGGTTATCTGTATTTTACTTGAGAACTGGTTAACTCATGTCACAGAATTAATGCTTGCATATTATACTTACTATATTATCAGTAGGTATAAATACAGACATAGAAAGTTTGACAATTACATATGAAAAATCAATAACTGATCATTCAAAGATCACTTAAAACTCAATATTTGAAATAATAAGATAGGACAGTCTAATTTTCACTTAGATAATTATCTTCTAATAATAATTTAGAAGTAATATTTCTTTTAAGTGATTGTGACAAGTAGATATTACAAAGACAGACACATTTTCCTCATGCTCTTTAAAATTTATAAAATTTTTCAAAAGTTTGTCTAAGATAATTTATTTGACATATATTTGCAGATGTCTATGATAGGTGAGAAATAAAATATGTATGGAATATGTATTGGAAATATAATCTGATCTGATCCTTGAAAAGTCAAGTGGTCACTAGTGTAATAAAAAGTGACCAGTATTCCAGGAAGAAAAGCAGCATGTGCCGAGGCATCTTTTCATAAAAGAGTCTATCAAGTTAAAATATGATCAGAACCCTGAAATTTTCTTTTTATAAATGAGGAAGTGAGAGAAGATGAAGTGAGGAATACTGATTTCAAAACTACATAAAAATATCATTTCTTAGTAGAAACAAAAGAATTATTTAGAATGCATTTGTAAATTCCTCTGATAGCACAACAGGGGGAAAAAGTTATATATTTTTTTCTCTTTAGTATAATTGGTAATCTATGTTCACCAGGAGATACATGCCTCCAAATTAAACTTTATTTTAATGATATTGCCATGCTCAATTTAAAGGACTTCAAGTGAACTCTAAAATAGACAACATTCTGCTATGCTTGGGCCCATTCTGTTGAATTCTCAGAACCCATTTTAGTCTTTTATTTCTGTCCAAAGTCCTTTTCTTTCAAGAACAGAAAACTAAAATACCTCTCCCGTGAGTGATAGACAAACTCTCCTGGCACAAGTACCTATGTGTCAGAATTCACACCAGCTATAACGTTGAAGTATCTTAGAGCATTCTGCTACACCAGACATTACTCCTTCATTTGCCCAATTTCAGGAATTCGGCCGGGAACTCATATAAGCAACACACATGGGTAACTCTGGTATCATTCTTTTTTTTTTTTAACCAAACAACACAGAAGTATTTCAATACATTTACAACTAATAAAGCCAAAAGAGTATGTGCCTGCTGAATATCAACCTTGATCTAATTAAAAGGAAGCCAAGATTTTCTGGAATCAGTTTGTGATTCCAGGAATCCTCCTGTGTGGCTCTTTGATTTTCTTTTTCCTCCCATCGTTTAGGAAAAAAAAAATCTATTGAGGGAGTTGTCATATTATAGTTGGAAAAACTGAATTTCAGCAAACAGCCAGGAAACGGAGTCTTAGTTTTTCCTACTTGGTTCTGCTCAGCTGATACCATGTAAGCAGACACCTTGTGCTTTAAAGCAAAACATTAACCTACATCTGTAATTACCTCATTTGCCCCGCATCTTTTACTTTTGTGTGACTTTTCCCATACACTTAACAACACTAGTTTTACACCACTTTCGATTTCTCTCTTCTCTTTTCCCTGAATTTCTTCTTTCTGCCTTTCTCCTCATATTTTAAGCTTGCTTCCTACAAATTTAGGCAAATATTGACCACTGCTCAACCAAGGTCTTGTGTGGGATTTGGATGGAATTCTCATGTAATAGTATTTATTTTTTGGAAAAATTTGTATCAGAAATTCAACTCCCATTTCACTGAACATAGAAGACAGGATTTACACTCTTTAAAAAATGCACCAATTAGACAACATTAATATCGAATGATATATATTTGGGAAAATAAGTTATTGTTTCTTAGGGAGATTGGCACCTGGGAGTTAATCCTGTAAGATTTTTCAGCTAGCATCACCTAATTTTAAAACATGGATTAATTATTTATGACAGTATAGAGTGTGATGTCAACCAAAAAAGATTATTTGAGAAATAAGATAAAGACCTAAAACACCTCTCATATTTCACTTAATGGGGTAAAGGCAATTGAAATGAATATTTACAAACAAGTATGATCTTCTTTTATTGACAAGAATAATACACTTTAAGATACACTCGATTATTTTTCATGCTTGAGTCATTCTAATGCTGATTACATTTAGTTTGGCTTATGTTTTGTCTCAGTTCCTACTAGCCTGCATGAATGACATAGCAATAATTAACATGGCTTACTTTAACCCTTGTAAATTCAATAAAACTGTATAAATCATTTTCCATTATCCAGCTGAAAGTACAGACAAAGAGTAGATCTACCAATAATTTTGAAAGCATATTACCAAAAATCAATATAAAAAAGAGCTCATAAAACATGTCAAAACATGATTTTAATCACAGAGTAGAGTTTTCATATTACTATCATTTACTGAGGACCCCATCTAGGCAGAATCTGGGAAGTAATAGAAACACATTATTTGTGGAAGTCACCTTTGTTATTGATAATCATAAAAGAACTCAAATTTATCAAGTGCCTGCCCTTTACAAGACCCTGCCATTATTAATTGTTATTAAAATGGTATAACAGTGATATTACAATAGACATATTTCAAGGAAAGAAAGAAAGGCTCAGAAAGGTTTACTATATTACTGGGGAAGCCTAGAATAAATTATATAAGAAGCAAGAGTGGGATTCAAATTAGATCTATCTGAATTAGTATAAAGGCTGTTTTACTTTCTTCACTATGATGTCCATAATTTCAAAATATTTTAAGTTTTATCTCATTATAAGATCTAACACATATTCACTTTTTTGTGTTAGTACAAACTTGGTAATCATGACTGTCATAACAAATTATTCAACCATTGACTGCAGAACTGGTAGAAATTCAACTTCTCTCAACAAATATTTAATTCTTACATATGATCATTAGCTATATACATTCCAAACAGTCTATTGTGAATTGACCTTAGACTCCACTTATAAAAGGTACCTAAAATAGTTAAACTCATAGAAAGCATAAAGCATAAAGGTGGTTGCCATCTTTA